AAATGTCTGGATGGAGTTGCCATTCGGCATTGTCCACCTGAGTCCTACTGAGATAGTCCGCTTGAATGTTCGCAGTCCCCATGATGTGTTCTGCCTGGATGGAGAGGACGTTCTTCTTGGCCCACTTGCCGAGGCGAAAAGATTCCTCCATGAGCCGCCTTGAGCAGGTCCCTCCTTGGCGATTGACATGTGCCTTTGCGGCGATGTTGTCTGTCAAAATTAGTACATGCTGATTCTATAAGGACCATTGAAATTGACTGAGGGCCAGGCGGATGGCCTTCAACTCTAGCCAGTTGATTGGATTGACAAGGTCCTTGGAGGACCAGCGGCCTTGTGCCACTTGGGAGTTGAGGTGGGCTCCCCAACCAAAGAGGCTGGCGTCCATTGTGAGACTGATTCTCTGGTGGGCCGCAAAGAGACACCCTTGTAATATGGAGGTTAGGGAGTACATTTTGAACCTCCAGTAGGCAATGTGGGCATTGAGGGATTTTAGATCTAGAATCGCTCACCACCCCCCACCTGAACTCTTTGGTACCACAAAGAGAATGGAATAGTAGCCCTGCCTCCACTGGCTTTTTGGAACCTCCTCTATAGCCTGAATCTGGAGGAGGTGTTGAACAGCCTGTCCCATCAGCTGTTGCCTGGTCCTGTTTTTTGAGAGAGGGCACTGAATGAAGCAATTCGAGGGTTGGTAGAAGAATTCTAGGGGAAATCTGAATTTGACTACAGAAAGGACCCACTGATCTGAGATTGAATGTTCCCACCTGTCTGCAAAGAGAGCCAAGCGGCCCCCAATGGGAGGGGTGGGTGGTGAGTCATTTGCAGCTGTGGGATTGGCGATAGCCGGAACCACAAAAGGACCTCTTGGACTGAGGGAATTGCTTGGGTCTGTCCCGAAAGGACTGACAATCAGATGGACGTTTGGGTCCCTGAGGATAGACCTGCTGGGAAGGACCTCCCTGCGATTAGGCACGGAAAGGTTGTTTCCTATAGAAAGGAGAAGACCTCCTGTCAGCTTGTTGAGTAGATGAAGGAAGAATTTTGTGCTTATCCTGTATTTCTATGAGAAGCGCTTTTAGTGACTTGCCAAAGAGCTTTTCCCCAGTGTATGGAGCTGCAGTGAGGCGCCATTTTGCCCTGAGGCCTGCTGGCCACTAGCGTAGCCATAGTAATCAGCTGACACTGCAGATGCCAGAGCTCTTGACACGTACTTGGCAGTATTTAAGGTAGCGTCAGCAGAAAATTGGGTAGCTGCAATTATTTTGTTAATGTCTTGATGGAGACGAGCCTCGCTCGGGGCTACCCTGGCCCTGCAATTGTTGAAGCCAGAGAATAGTGGTGTGGTTGAAAAAGGAGGCAGAGGATGCTGCTTGAATAGCCCAGGCAACAGCTTGGTGGTTCTTTTTGCATAAAAGGTCAATTTTTTTGTCCTCTGGAAGGAGGCCTTCTGGGGTATCCCCAGTTACATAAGAGGAAGAGGAGGAGAGATCTGAAACAGGTCTGTCTACCGGGGGAACCTGCAGCATTTGGGCGAACTTGGGGGCTGCAGAATAATACTTCCTATCTTCCCCGTTCGTTGAAGAAACAGCTGCAGGACTTGACCGTTATTTTTGCACCACATCTATGAATAATTGTGGGGCCGGAATAAAGCACTGCTCAGGAGTAGGCTCAGAAAAAAGACCTTGTGGTTGGCCTTGCTGAGCTTCCTGAACTTCCCTGAGGGTGTCATCCTCCTTTAGGGCAGCAGTGATTCGTGCCTTATGAAGTAAGGACTTGAATCTGTTTGGGGGGGGGAAAGCCCTGTAAAGGCAGGTGTGTCTGGGATCACCCCCTCATCATCTGAAAAATCAGAATAATGTTCCTCTTCAAAGGCAAAAACCTCACTGCCTCTGGAAGTGTCAGGTGAATGGGAATCAGTCAAGCTGGCTGAAGTAGAGCCCTGAATCTGAGCAGACTGCTCTGAAACTACTGATCCAGAATGATGACCCTGGAAGACAGTTGCCATGTGAGAGGCAATGGCCTGGTGAATAAGAATTTGCAAACCTTCTGGTAAGTTCTTAAAAGGATCAGCTGTAGGTCTGTCTATTAAAGGAGACCATCTTGCAGAGGCTGCCACTGCTGAGACCCTGCCACATTCAGGAGGTGCAGATGGAGCTAACTGACAAGCAAAGGGATTCTGTGTTGGGCCTTGCTCTCCATGAGTCAGCAACACTGGATCTATGGAAGTCTCTCCTTCCCCTTCTGGGGATCAAGCCTGATTCGATGGGGATGGTGCAGGAATCTGATGAGAAGGAGTACTAGTATGGGAACAGACCTCCTTGGCAGCCAAATTGAAAGGAGCTTTGGAAACCTGCTTTTCTAATGACTTGTGTCTTTGTTCAAGGTCTTTTGCCTCTGCCTTAGAAATATGTTTGCGTTTGCAAAAGGCCTTTTTCCCAGTGGAAGTCCCAGCTCCCTCCCTGTGGGAAGAGTGATCCGCCATTTTGAATCTGTACTCACTGCAACCAAGATGGCGACTGGAGGTAGATGAGTTTCACTTTCATCACGTGGTGGGTTAAACAGCGGCAGCTGTGCCGGTGAAAAACCGGGCTAGCCAGCCCACACGTGAGCAGGGTGGATGCTGCTCAAGGGGCAGCTTGTCTAGGTAAGGACCTTGGATCTTGCTAACTCCCAGCGTCTACGGCCGCAGTCGAGTAAAGACCAGCAGGCCATTCAAATGCCACATGGAGGATGCAGAAAAATTTGTGCACCACTCCGCTTTTAAATGCTCCATTGGTGGTTTAGCAGGAAAATGAGGCCAAATTGCTTCCAAGCCTCTTCTCTGCTCGTTGGTGGCAAAGCGGCAAAAAATCACTTTAAAATTGCCACCGCACTTCAAAGAGCCACCCTACAGCTGATCAGCAGTAAAAGGAGCTGTGGGCAGCTGCGGCCAAAAGGCATGAGCCTGGAGCTGCTGCCAGGCTTTGCTGCCTAAAGGAGGTAGTGGTATAGCCTTTGGGGGGCTGTCTCTGCCTCATTGGTGGTTTAGGAGCCCAAAGAGTGCCCACCATAAAGAGAAACAGCCACAGCGAAAAAAACGCCCAAAATGGTGGCCGCCTGGACTGAAGAAAACAACCTGGTAGACCAGGACGCTCCAAATGAATGCATAGACCAGTAGGCTCACAAAATAGTTGAAATAAGACTGGTAGACCAGTACCCTTACAAAAACTTTTTTTAAAAAATTGGTCAAAAACTCAGTGACTCTGAAGAATCGAACAGACATGGGCTGAGAGAGCCAGATCTGCTGGAGATGTTTCTCTCAGGCAGACTGAGTCGAAACTGAGTCTGAGAGGAAGGAACGAGGGCCATGGTCAAAAAACTATGACTCAGTCCCTAGGCAGATCTGACTGAAGCAACCCATGTCTGGACGATGCCACAGCCATCACTGGAGAATTAGACTGGATCTTTTCAAGAGGGGCAAAAGAAGAATACTGGACACCGAAGAGTAGTTATGCATGAGCCTTTGTTGAAAATAGCTTAAGTGCTGCTAGTAATATACTGCACTCCTCTAGTAAAATAGAAAGATTGGATTGTAGCCTTTAGGGGTTTTTGGAGCATTTTGTACAGCATAGTTTTGATGTGCACTGCGTTTTGTGGAACTATGAAAAATCATGCCCAAATATCTGAAGGTTGTAACTTGTTCAATATTCTCCACCAAGCATACTGTTGAGGTCACAGCAAAAATCAGAATTTTGATTTTACTGGGATCGATTTCTAAAGCTTCCGCTTAGCAATACCTGGTCAAGGCATTCAGGGCTTGTTCGAGTCCAAATAATGTTTGTGACAGAAGTATTATGTCATCTGCATAAAACAAGGTAGCAATATGCCTGTTTGCTAATTTTGGTGGTTCGGTGGTGTTCAAATTGATTCACTTTGGCCACGAGTGAATTTATATATAAATTAAACAGAGAAAGGGGCTAAGATGCATCTCTGCCTCACTCTTCTATGGGCTGGAATCTCATTGGTATAGCAGCCTTGCATGCTGCAATGCATTTTGAATCTTATAGAGGTTATGCATGAACAAAAGTAATCATCTGTCAATGGTGATGTGCAGGTTTGTCCAGAGCCCTTGCTCTAAGAAGCGAGCCTTTAACTATAGCCTATTGGTATACAGATACATACATTTGTGTTAATCATACTTCTATCTGATCATTTGTATCATCTTTGGTTTGTTTACTTTGCTGAATACCCCACAAAGTCATAAGATTAAAATGGTTAACAGAATATAATAAATAAGCCCAAAGTTCTGATTTCAGATAAATGTCCTCAGTAGCTTAGGATCTGCTTCTGTAAATTATAAATTACATTTGCATGTTATAAGGACAACAACTATGTTCTTCCAGCAAATTACTCGGGACAAAGATATTAAGTCCTCAATGTTTTTTGTTATTTCTGCATTTAAAATTTATAATTGCCTTAGAAGAAATTCAGTCTAAGCCTTTGAGAATTATTCCATGTTGCTCACAAATTTGCAAAGGCATTCTTTGCAAGAGCTTGGTTGTGCCTCATAGAGGCCTGTATGAGACTGTCATTTGAAATAGCAGCTGAAACAAATATTTGCCAGATATAATCTTTTTAAATTAAATTAAAAAACAAACTTCATGTCCACTTACCTGTTCAGGTCTGATCCTTGCTTTTATGTCGCACTGTACCAAATAATACATTCAATTATTAGCAAGAACCCCTCCCCCTTCCAGCTCCAAGTTGCAAACAATTCATAAACTTTATTTGGTTAGCACCTCAGCCTTAAAGATTAATAATATTTTTTTCTCATTTGATGGCGATTTTGTTCTGGGTGATTTTGTGCTTCATTTTAAATCTTTTTTTTTTATATAAAATAATTTTTATTAAATATTTACAATAAATTGCACACGCAGTAATGATTGAAAAGCACATTTTAAATCTTTTGACAGTGGACACAGTTATAATAGGCATGCAGACAGAAGGGCCTTTACAACAGGTTGGCTTATTAACATTTTATTTGTCATGTTTTAATGGAGTCAGTTTAAATAAAAAGAATAATTAACATGGTGAATATAGAAAGCAGAGGAGCAATTAGTACAGTTTTTTCTATATACCAAGGAGCACAGAAAAAGCTAACCTTGCGTGTAATGCGGCATTTGTCCAAGAAAGGAACAAACATTAGAATAAACTGTTTCCTTGTTGAGCATCAAGCCTAAGAGCCATTTCAGAAATGGCAAAACTCAAATCATAAAACAATGTGAATCTGTGTTTCATACACAAAATGGTGCCATTGCCATTTATCACAATCGGAATCAGTGCTATTTCCCAGGGAGAAAGAGACTGCAAATAAACTGGATAATGGCCACTGTTTAGCACACACCAATTTGCCACTAAGCCTCATTGAAATCTCAATAAGACTTGCATTGAATCAATCATAAAAATCACATGAGATATTGAATGTTGTCTAACATTCACATATAGAAGTTTACTCTTGGAACGCAGAAATGGCAAAGCTCAAATCATAAAACAATGTGAACCTGTGTGTTTCATACACAAAATGGTGCCATTGCCATTTATCACAATCGGATTCAATGCTATTTCCCAGGGAGAGACTGCAAATAAAATGGATAATGGCCACTGTTTAGCACACCGATTTGTCACTAAGCCTCATTGAAATCTGAATAAGATTGCATAGGACTTGCATTGAATCGATCATAAAAATCACATAGAGATTAAACTGTTGTCTAACATTCACACATATAAGTTTAACTCTTGGAACATCCTTTTTTTTTTTTTTACAAGATCCTTCCAATTACATTGCTAAACTTCTGTTTTCTCAAACTATACAAATACATGTATTTTAGTTTGTGTTAGTGTCTTGCATTCCATGATTAGCTGAAAGAATACATTGAAATGAACCAAATCACAGCTTCAGTTCACCATTAACACAGCGAATAACTTTTAGCTTTGGAGCAAATGACTGGCCCAGTTCTACTTAATTAGATAAAACTGACACAGGTGCACGAGCAGTATAGTACATTTTTAATTCTTTTATCAAATTTTGAAACCATCGACCCTCCCTCACTCCACAGTTTTGGATGGGAATGACATATGTAAAATGCAAGATTGTTTTTGCTCTTATCTCATCTGCATTGTATCTGGTGCCCAAGATGGTAGAACGACTGCACCATGTGATACAAATAAACAGAGGGAAGAGTTTATTGATTACCTGGTTGCAGCTGCCATTATTTTTTTTTGTCCTGCCCTGCAGATATCACCAATGTCACAGGTTCATCAATTTGGCATCAAGAAAACTAACTGCCTTCATCCCTGTCCCCAGGGCCTTCTCCTTTTATGAGCTCATCAAAGTTCACTAGGAAGGACATACCTGTGAATCAATCTGTGACTTTTTAATTTTGATTGTTTTTAATAGCTTTACACCAGGTGACAGAAGAGTATGTAGACAGAAAACTGACAGATTTCTTGTTATATAATTCAGAAAAGACTTGGGACTCTGTATCAAGCATACATATAATGTGCAAAATGATGCTACATTCTGGGAAGCAGTATTATTCGTACCAAAGTTGTACCCAGCAGCATCACTTGTGGGACAGTGTTAGCTGTATCTCAGGATGTCAGGAAAAAGTGGCTTCCCGGTTTCCCTTTGAAAACACACACACACACAAAGCTTCCCTAACGTATTCTACTTTACTGAATCAAAGAAAATCTTCACACTTAAAACAAGTAACCCTAACTCTACCATGGCATGGGACTGAGATAGTTGATGGTCCAGCTCTCCCTAGTTACATCTACCTGTTCCATCGGATTAGAATCTCAAAATTCACATTTGCAAACTTTATTCCAGGAGGAATAAAAGACTGGTTATTTGTTTTGATAAACAGAAATGGTACCTATAACCGTTTTTGAGGTGCATGAAAAAAAAACCAAACCCCTGACATTATTAAGCATGTCATGTCAGCATGTAAACCCTGTAAGGCAAACATTGTGTCTGTGGTTAAGTGAGAAAACCTGAGTCCAATTACTCTGAATACACTGAATACAATTGGCATTATTTCAAGTACTTGCTTCTACCAGGTACAGCTAGAAGTGGTTTTTTTTTTTTCTTAAAAACAACAACAAAACAAAACAGATGTTTATTGGTAAGATCTTGAATTCAAGGACTGAGCATTGCATGTTAATTTTTTTTAAGGGCAAAAGCCCAGTTGACAAATACTACAACAATCCTAAACCCTGTTTGATATATGCTGCAAAGAACAACAGCAGCCACAAAAAATGAACAATAAGGCAACCACTGCATACAGCTGAATGGTAGGATGTCATGGGGAGGAAGGGAATAAGCTACAAATCCACTTGTGAGCTTCTCAATACTGAACAGATCGTTAAAAGCCGTTTACCTATTCAAATGCTACTAGAAAATAAATAAAATCAATGAAGTTCTTCATCCACATTTAAGCCTCCAAAAAAGCTTTTCAAGAGAATGGAGCCATCAACTGTAGGCATCAGGAGGGTTTATTTTTAGCAACTGTGAACTATTAAAGAGACTTTTCTACACCTTCTGCTCAGCAAAATTAAAAATTTGGAGCACAGCATCAAGAACGTTCAACGAAAGTGCACCATGGAGTCCAAGAAGAAGCTAGGTGTCATAATCACAATCATGATCGTTCTTCTTTAGCACCAATTCAAAGTTCGAAGTCAATATATTCTAGTTCAGTTTTAGCTACAATTTTGATGCTACTGTCTGGGCTGCTTTATACATAATTCAAGCAGAACTGTGAGCGTTCATCAGATGTAGCTGTTAAAGAGGAAAGTTGGGAAAACAACACTAATTACAAAGTTTTTGGTCAAACCATTAAGCACAACAGACTGTAGACTGTAATAAAATATAATCCCTGGAGCTATATCGGAGTTCGGTAATTAGTTTCAGTTGATTTTTGGTGCAAAAAAAAAAAAAAAAAGGCAAACAAGAGGGGGAAAAAAGGTCCATTTTAAAGCCAACTGATTAGTTTCTTTAAAAAAATGATATCAGATGAGGATTTGTAACAGATGCTCCTCTTTTTTATATTAAGGAAAAACAGAAGGGATTTCCATAAACATTTACAGTTATGCACTAATCTGGCAAAATGTTTTCATTTTTAAAGAAGCTTGAAAACAGACATAAGATCCAATGCCAATTTCATTTCCTGATTATGTTTAAGTTGGTTGATGAAGCCTCTATATGGACCTTATCCTGTGGGAGGGTGATACCACTTAGAAATATTCAGAGTTCATACATAAAAGAAACATATATTTCTATACAAAATGGATACACAAAGAGCAAAGGTTAATTGTTATTAGTGATAGTCTTATAAAGATGTCATTAGCCAACAGTTGATCGTGTTCACCCTTGTGCAAAAGCTAGGCATAATCGGAGTGGAACAGAAAATTATTTCTGTACTTCTCTTCCTCGTAACTGCCCAGAAAGCGTAAGATGCTTCTTGCTTTTCATTCTCTCCCCCTACTGCCATTTTGTTTTTGTTTTTAAATGTTCTCTGAACTTCTTTGGAAATAGTTTGGGTTTTTTGCTTAGGACATCAGTAGAAATGAACTATTTAACCGACGTTGCTCGTCCGTTGTTTGGAAATTACCCAGGCATTTCATTTTAGCTTGCTTCTTCGGCCGGTCCCTTTCGCTGACGTGCAGGTTTCTGCCTATTTCTCTGTGGAGTGAGCAGCAGCGCATCCTGTTCAGCTTCTGGTTCTGCATTTTCGCTATCCCCTTGTTGGGATCCTGTGTCTCCAATCAGCTCTCGTAGGAACTTAAACTTTGATAAGAAGAGCTGCCAGACCACGCACCAACCTAGAGAGTTGCCAGGAAAAACAAAGGGAACGTTTAAATGTTGCACCCCACAGCCGTTGAAAATATACAGCACAATACGAACAAGGGATTGATGCCAGTGCATGCCACACTCATATAGAAATAACATTGTCCAAACAAGTTCAATCCTTAATAAAGTTACAAAAAAACATTAAGTTGGAACTGCAAAACTAAAAATCTACTGTGGATTATCGTATTTGTTTATTGAATAGCCCGAAGGCCTTTTCAAACAAAACAGGAAAGAAAAAGGGAAAAAGACAAAACAGTTACAGAAATAACAATCTAAAAATATATGATATATCACATTAAAATTTTACAATATCAGATTTCAATAGCTAAGTTGCCAAGACTAGATAACCCAAATAAGATAGCTCTGCTCTAACTCAGCTCATCTTTCTTACAATCAATGAAATTCTTTTCGATATAACTAGCTTGTATTGCTGTCATCCTTTTAAGATAGCGAGTGATAGCCCTTACCGGGGAGGAGAGTCTGCCTTCAACAGAAATGATAATTTATGCCTTATATTCCAGTGGGGAAATTTATTTATAATTGGGGACAGATATTGTTTTCTTACTTCCTCATACAGCCTACATTCAAATATTATATGCGTCATGTCCTCCACGACGTTTACCCCACATATACATGTTCTTTTGTCATACGGGATTTACTGTGGATTAAAAACTTTGCCTGTGCACTGATCACTTTCTATCTACTTTCTCTCTTTTAGAAGAGCAATGGTGGCACAGTGGTTAGATTGTAGTATTACAGACTAATTCTGTGCCGGCTGCCAGCAGTTCAAATCTCACCAGCTCAGCCTTCCATCTTTCCGAGATGGGTAAAATGAGGACCCAGATTTTGGGGGGCAATAGGCTGACTCTGTAAACCGCTTAGAGAGGGCTGTAAAGCATGGTGAAGCAGTATATAAATCTAAGTGCTAGTGCTATCCCTGGTCTACACTTCCTTTCTTTATTAGCCAGCTAATAATGTATTTAAGTCTTACTGATCTATTACATTCATGGACAGGTAAACCTAGTCAGTAAATAAGCAAGAAAATACCAATACAAATCTCATCCTTTATCTCTACCAGACGTTAGCAACTAAGGTATAACTAACATTTTTCCATTAATCATATAAGTATTTTATCAAAAATGGTCAAACAAGGATCAGGAGGCAGAAGGGACAATGAAGAAAAGGATCCCACTATAAGGAGGCCTTCAACAATGACTGAAAATGCTCCTGTTATGAATCAGTGAGATCATTTCTAAAGAGCTAATTGCTGAAGAGACAAGCCTGTAGGTCCTCCAGGGAGTTGCGCCTGGGTTATAGTCTCATAACAATAAGGTCATCGGGTCAGCATTCTTTCAGCCTGTTCCATGCTACTGGGCTTTTTGAATGCTATTTTGGTGGAAAGAATGTGTGCCATCTTATGCGCCTTAGTAAAAACACAGCCCTTAATAATAATACTAATAGAGTTATTATCATCAAAAGATTAAGGAAAGGAGGCAGAATGGGGTTTATCTTTTTGGCATCAATAACATCCAGTCCCTTTCCTCTTTGCCACTCCTCAACATGCTTTCAGCTCAGTCTTGCCAGATGAAGAGATGAAATCTCAAAAAAAAAAAAAAAAAAAAAAACAAAAAGCAAAAATATAACAACAACACCCTGCATATTTTTGGAATACCAATGGATGTGGGAATCCATAAAAGAGAGGTTTTGTAATGAGGGATGGATAAAGGAGAAAACAATAGGTAAACTGTATTCATCAGGATGTAAACTTTATGGCTCTAAACAAAAAGCAACTAAAATTGGGGGGGGGGGGGGGGAAGGATAGCCAGTATAAGACCCAGCAAATCCAAAAGGGACAGTATTGTTCTCCTATTCATAAGTGACTTATTGAAAAATCCGTGTGGGTATGCATATGCAGCATATACCTCCTAACATGTGGGTTATGGGAAATAGTATGTTGGCATGCCAAGGCAGTTTCTAGATTGGTTATTCTAGCTTGCACAGTATACGTGAGCATGTTTGGGGTAAAACTGGGCCTTAGTTAGGCTTGTGACATACTGAACAAAATTAGGTTTAAAAAGTGACTGTCACTGTCCTTGGATTGGCAGAAAATGTTGCATGCCGCGTGGAGCTAACTAAATTGGCCATCTAGTCTACTTCTCCTCTACATCATAAAAAGCCTTTTAAGAATGACCGCCTTCATTAACCATCTCGGTCATAATGTGGCTTGCATATGAAGGCAGCCATTTTGTGGTTTCTAAATAAAGATTGGTAGCTTAGTGAAATGCAGGAACCCAGCCCATGTGAAGATCTCTGTTTGCAGGAAGAAGTAGAGGAAGATCAACTGATCTCCAATCTCTTTTCTTTTCTCTCTCCACCCCACAAAAGGAGGTAATTGTTACCCATACAAGGTTCTCTTCCCAATCACTCTGCATGTTGCAATTCTTGCAACATAGGTATGGAAATCATGATCATTTAGTATTTGATTTTCAGGCTATTCAAAGAAAACTTGTGCCAATTTATACATTCAACAGAACAAACGATAGACTTATTTTCCTGGACTGCATCATTTCTAGGTGGATGCAGTGGGTGTATTTCCAAGCTAAGAGCTCTACTATAGTCTATTTCGGGCATTTTAAGTTTAGTAAATCGATGAAAAGGTGCTTATTCCATCTATTTTATTTTTGATGTTTCTACTAACATTATTCCTACCACACACACACTCCAACTGATCTACCATAAGAAGCAAGTAGGCTTAAGAAACATGCCATTACCAAATTGTGCTGAATATATACTCCGGTTCTTATAATCAAATCTAGACTGGCATGAGAAGAATCACCTAAGGTAATATCACAAGGAGGAATAAGGAATTTTTTTACTTAGCAACCTATGGAAGCTTTACTGCACAACTGTGATGAAACTCTATCGTTAACCACATGAGCTTTGTTCTGATCTACCAGAGCCAGATTAACCTTGGGCTTTTATTTATTTTTTGACTGTAAGAATTAAAAAGTGGCAGTTCCTTTTTAGCACAGCTTGATCAAGAAAGGAACAGTTTCTTGGGAGTATTTTTTTTTTTAACCTTCTGGCCATACAATAAAAAAAAAATAATGTAGTTGTTCTAGCTCAATATTTAATGCAGTTGCCAAGTTGTTTTGCAATCCTCAATTTTCCAGTGAGGCAATTCTGAAGTAAGGTCACATTAAATATCAAGGTAAACGAGCTGCATCTGTTTCACAACTGAATTCACCATTAAGGTCATGGGTGTATTTGTGAAGCTTCAATACATCAGATCAGATCTCACAATGTTGAGATTAGTCAACCAAGTAGGAGTGGATTAACAAAGGGAGGATTCCACCAGTATTTATTTTTTTTATCAAGCTCATATTTTCTATCTTCCAAAACTGTAAATTCTAACTATTCCATTTTATTCTTTTACTAGTGTTGTTCTCTTCTTTGGTCTGACAAGGATCAAAGCTCTCGGATAAGGCAATCAAGGATAACTCTTAAAAGTAATAGCAAAAATGAAACAAAACTATCCCAATGGACCCAATTAACTATAGTAATTATGGAGAATTCCCACTGGCAATTTTTTTCCCAACTCATCCCCATCATATTAGAATTATATTATATCAACTTTAGAATCTGGAGTGATCCTCCGGCTAGGTTCACAAATGTACAAGGGAAGAGGCACATGTAGCTCCGATCGTCCAAGGGAGGATAGACTGTGGAGCTCCCATTTTAAATGGATTTCACTCTTGAAAAATCACCTTCATGATATGGAGGAGAGTACAGTAAGCCTGAGAGAGATATCTGGAAGGAACAAGAGCTTCTAAGGGATTATTCTTGCTGATAAGGTCAAAGGGGAAGGAGGAAAGCTAACAGCAATTCACAATAGGGTTTCTGGAGGTGTGAGGAAAACCAACCAACCGTCTCCATCTAGGTCGAACTTGGAAGAAGGAATAGAATATAAATAATGCCCCCCCCCCCCCAAATTGGCATTGCTAAGTATGCACTTGCCTACAATCCAATAAAAGATGGGCTTGTATATATCACTATTAGTGGACACCCAGAAAATGTTAATGTTAACATGCGTGCTCTCCTGCAGGAGACACAACAGAAGATTTTGATAAATTTTGTGACAAACTGCAAGAAGCACTAAATGCAGAAATTGGAGAAATGAAGTAATCTGGAATGATAAGAGATATATGCATCAGATAAAACCCAGTATCAGGAGACAGATTAGAGCAGGGGTCACCAACCTTTTGGACCTCAGGGACCACTAAATTCATCATTTTAAATCCCACGGACCACTAATATGATCTGTCTAATGACCGTCTTTGTGGGCATGGCTAGGTGATCATGTGACTGGGTGGGCATGGCCAACTCGATGTCACTCATGTCAAGGGGTGCCTCGCCAGCCTCTACTTGCCCCTCCCCTGCCAGCCACTCCATGCCTGCCTGCCCGGGTTCCTTAGGACCCCAACAGGAAGCAGTTGTTGGAGCTAAGCAGCCACCATGAGAAAAAGTTGGCAAAACAGCTGAATTCAAATTGGATCCGACCGAGAAGGAGGCTCAGCAGAAGCACCTCACTGAGGACTAGGAGCATAGACTTTCCAAGCAGAGGGAAGACCTGCAGGAGTGCAAGACCAGCTACTGGCGCCTGGAGGCTCAGTGGGTTGAGATGGTCAGCCAGTTCCAGGCCATGGGGCAGTCCCACTGGAACAAAGCCCTCCATCTCTTCGCCACCAGTGCCATATCCCTCCAGCCTTCACCCAAAGCCCTGCATCAGGAGGCCGAAGGAGACCCCAAGTAAGAATTTCTGCCCCCCTCCAACCCGCACAAAAAGACCCCAAAGGGGGAGACTCTCTGCAGCAACACAAACGTTCATTGCACGTATCCGGCCCAGGGGATGTAGTTTGAGGACTCCTCAAGGAGGAGGACTATATTTAGTGCAATATTTATTTATTTATTT